AAACCTTGATTTAATTGTATGATTTATGGGAAATGAAATTATGTGTAGTGTCAAAGAAATGCCATTTGGTAGGCTATTGCACCAATCTATACACTATGATACTTATTGAAAAACAATTACCTGAGACCTGTTTTTAACTCCCCTCTCAATAAATAACTTGTTGCTCACCATAAGCACCATTTTTATCTGCACATTGATTTAGCAGAATTCTTACGACTTTAGGATTTGGATTCAACATCTAAATCTGCAGAGTACTAGTAATTCAGCAATTAGCTTTAAGCTATTGTTTAAATCATATTTAATGAAAATAGTGACAAATTTAACTAAGAGTGTCTTAAGAGATCTGACTCAGACTCAATAAAAAAGCCAACATTATTTCTGATACCAAGAGCAGATGATTTTTTTCTTGTGAGAGATTTGGGGTGTTATATAGAAGTTGGTGTGAAAGCATCTCTTACAGATTGCACCTAGTTTCTGCTTTGTAGAGGCAGCTAAAAGTTTCTATTGCTTGTGATAACAAACACTGAATTTTGTATTTCTGTAAACAAAAAAACCCACAACCCCACCTTATATAATGATTGTTACAAAATGGTAGTTATATAAGGGTTTTTTATATAAATATAATAATGAGTATTGATGTGGAAAAAATACCTTTGTTTTGTGACTAATTAAGTAAGAGCAATATGAATTCTGTCTCTGCTACAAATTCATTAATGAGGTTTTGCAAGCTATGGTGTGTATTTGTGTTGATAAAAAAAAAAAAAAGTGCCTGTATACTGTTAGTTGCCTGTAAGTCAGTCTGATCAATGTGTGACTGTGTTAGCTGGCTTGTTTGTTCACATGAGAGCAAAGTGACTTTGTACAGGCTACATTTTATTTTTGAGCTACAGCACAAGTCCATAAACTACCCAAGTCCTCAGTGGTGGTGATTTACTCTCAGTGTAGCAGTTTAAGCTGATAAGAAATTGTTATTGGTGAAGTCCCTTGTAATTTGTTTAACTCTTTGCATGGATTATGTGTATGCAGACAGTTCATTTGTTGTAAAGTTTTACTAGCAAGGGAGCTGCTTTTCCTTGGTGTAAACTCATATACTTGAACAGCTGAATGTTGCCCCTGCTTCAAAATTCCATGTGCAAATAAAACAAACCAACAAACCCTCTAGGATCCCATAGGTATGGGCCAAGGATGGGAAATGCCTTTTCCTTTATATTGCATGAACACAAGGGTGAGCATCTGTGAAAGGTCTACAGGAAGATGAACATTTTTTATAAAGGTTCAAGTAACTCCTTCTTCAGTGTTTTTATCAATTTCACTAAGATGTTCCTACCTGTAAGATCCTGAAGTATATCAATCTGAAATACACACCTCTATCAATATATTTTACTTTATTCCTCTTGACTTTCAGTATAATCATTATCAATCAAGTAATTGACAAAGATTTGTCTTCAGTTCTGGTATCTTTTGTGAGGAAGCTTATAGGTTGGACGTGTTTTGATGGCGAGGTTGGCGTTGTTTAGATTCAGGCTTTTTGTAATTAAGGAACTTCTGAAATTGGGAAACTTTGAAATTAAATTCTATGGACACAAAATAGGATGCTGCATGACAGCTGCAATGGAAGTTCTCTTATTCTATGACTTCACAAAATGATAAAATTGTCAGAACTTTTTAAAACTTTCGTCTTGGCTCTGCAATAATGGAAAATGAGAAAATTCAATTTGAAAAATGAAAATTCAGGAATAAAATTGTCTGATAGTAGATTCCCATTACCTTTGTCTATATAATTCCACATGCAAGAAAGAAGCCTGAAATTGCCTATAAATAAAAGGTGAAACTTTTTGTACTATCTCTAATGGAAAAAAATTATTTCATAGTAGTGTTCTTTTAAATACATTAAGAAAATTGTATAGCTCCAGTTGACCTTATAGGCATGTAATAGACATGATTTAGGTGCATCTGATGAAGCTAAAGAGAAAAAGCCAAAAAAGAGGGTGCAGCCTGGATAAATCAATAGACACTCTGTGGGAGATACTGTGAAAGGTCCTTGGTCATCTCTTCTCTCAGTGTCTGATGTCCATCTCTTTCAGGACTGCTGATCTTGCTCACCATGGGGGCAGCTGGCCAGCCTGGACCATGGAACTAGTCTGTGTTTTAAAATGATCCTTTTAACACTCCATTCTTTCTTTTTTGGCTTTTCTTTGGAGGACCGTGAGGAGGAATGATGGACTGCTCACGGTGGCACAACAAAGAAAATTGTAAAATGAAGCTCTCAGGTAACCCATGTCTCTATCAGGAATAATCTCTCTTGTGTCTTGAATTAGGTTGCCACAGAAATGTGGTTTCTTTTGAACAGCACAAGTGATATCAGTCTATAGCTAAACATAGTTCATATACCAGGTTAAGACAAAGCTCTTATCTGTTTTTGGGGTTTTTTTCTTAACAGTTTTGTAGTTGAAACAAAAGTTTTCCATTCTATTTAATCTTGAAGAATGAAGGTGTTTACATAACTTTAATTTTTCCCATTCTGTACACTGAGAGAGCACTGAATATAAACTGTATCCAGGCTTTTGTGTATGTTACACCAAAGTAAAATGTACTGCCAGTCCTGCAACTCTGTATCCACTAGCTGGCTGTGCCCACTCCCAAAGCAGTGACCTTGAGCTATGGATGTACTGAGCACCTCGGGCTGTGCTGCTGCTGTGCGAGCCGTGTTACTGCGAACAAGAGGGCCCAGTGATTCAGTACTGAGGTATATAAATGTCATTATTTCTCTATTTATCTGGTCTGCGATGCAGCCTCAGTCTGGCAGCTGTAAGTAAGGGTGGTTTTCTAACTATTTTCAGGCTGTCCACCTGAAAGGACAGGCTGGGACCATGGGCTTCCCTGGGCTGCTCTCTCACCTTCTGTATCTCCAGGAGTTGCTTTTCTCTTCCACAGGCCATGCCTTCAGCTGATGGAAGCAATGGTCTGTGTCTGTCCAAATCTACTCCTTGCTGGATGAGGGGACATCGTAAACTTCCTAGTGAGGGCAGTCCCCCTAATGTCCAAGTGCAGACTTAAAATGAGGAAAAGAGCTTGGAGGCATTCTGTTTAATTGGAAATGTCTGTGCCAAACCAAATGTTCGAATTAACTTCTCTTGCCTAAAAAGTTTAACCTCTTTCATTTGCCCAAGCAGTAAAACAGGAGAGTAAAAGTAACACCTCAGGTCTCTGCTAAGGTCATGTTATTGTGCCTTTGGAAATACCCAGCTGGACAGAGTTGGTACTTCCCAAGGAGCTTCTGCTGACTTGTTTTCAGTTCCCACAGATGTTCAACAGAGGAAAATTCCCCATTTTTCCTTTCACTGCTTGAATGTGCTGCTGTTTTTAAAAGAAAAATAAATTACTGTATCATGTGCCTGTTACATGTGTTTCAGAAAGTTGCTTCTCAGTTGGCGTTTTGATACAAAGTTGTAGTCACTTGAGAAATTAAAAGTGTCCTGGAAGTAGACAAAACTTTATAGTCCCAGATTTGCTTAGAGGAGAAAAGAAAGACAGGATATAATCGTTTGAAACACCAAGGATGATCACCCTCCTTCTAATCAACGCATCTTCCTGCAGCTCAGGATGAAGTGAAATTTTAACTTGGTAACGCTCAAGCTGCACACATAAATATCCAGGACATAAAACCAATAATAAATCATCCCCTTCGTTGCAGGAAGATGATAACAAGCATTTATTTTCCAAGAAAGCATGCCACAGCAGGATCAATTTGTTTGTAAAGTGTATGGATTGTTGCTTATGGTGTAAACTTTGTATAAACAGGGGGAAATGGCTTCATGTTACATCAGTATTGATGTTTTTTAAGCATCTCTCTCATCGGATGATTTGTAAGCATCTCTTTCGACGCTTCCTGCCTCCGAGATGAGCTGCTAGATTTATCTTTATTCTGTCGTAGATGTTTTCTGCTGCCTGTTGCGAGCAAGCTGCATCCTGCGGACGGCGGAGAGCTCCGAGAGGCACCGTGCCCGCGGCGGGCTGGGGGCGCCGGAGCCGCCCGCGGGACCGCGCTACGGAGGCGAACAAAGGGGCCGCCAAACCCATCACCAACAGGTGCTGCGCAAGAAACAAACTTTTTCTGAGATACTACTCAGAGCTGCCAAAGGAGAGAGATCCCTCAGCCGCTCCGGGGAAGAGGCAAACACCAAAAAAACCCCCAAGTTCGGAAAGGGTCGGGACAAAGCGGCGGGAGCCCGCAGAACGTGGCGTGCCTCGGGCAGGGCGGGGAGCGTGTCCGCGCACCCGCACCTCCCCCGGCGCCGCCCGGCCGGACCGCCCCACCCCACCTGCGGCCGGGCCCGGCCCGGACCCGCCCCGGGGCCGGTGCGCGGGGGGAGCGGCGGGGCGCCGGTTTAACCCCTTCCCCGCCGGCGGCTCCGGAAGCGGCGGCGGCCCCGTGGGGCGCTGTGTCCTGCGGCCGGGCGGCGAGGGGTGGCGGCGCGGCGCGGGGGGAGCGGCGGCGGGAGCCGCTCCCTCCTTGCCCAGCCCGGCCCGGCAGAGGCGGCAGGAGGAGGAGGAGGAGGAGGAGGAGGAGGAGGAGGGCGGCGCAGAGCGCAGACATGGCGGCCAACATGTACCGAGTGGGAGGTATGTGGGGACGCGGCAGCGCCCGCCCGGAGCCCCCCGCGCCCGCCCGGGGGTCCCGCCGGGCCGCGGGCCGTGCGCGCCGCGCCGGGGCGAAGAGCGGCGCCCCGGCCCCCGGCGGGCGCGGTCCCGAGCGGGGCGGCCGGGCCCGGGCGGGCGGCGAGAGGAGGCAGCCGGTCCGGCGAAGGGTCGCCGGGCCCTCCGCGGGGCGGAGGACGCAGGTTCCTCCCCCGCCAGCCCCGCGCGCCGGGTGGGAGCCCGGCCCCCGCCGCCGAGGAGGAGAAGGGCAGCGCCGCCCTCCGCGGGAAAGCGGGGAGCGGCGCCGCCGGCTGCCAGCCCCGCGCCGCGCCTCGGGCCGGGCACGGCCGCCCTTTGCGCCTCGCCTCCTCCCCGCAGAGCGGCGGAGGGGCCGAGCGCCGGGCCCCGCGGGGCGAGCAGGGGCCGCCCGCCCGGCCGTGCGCCCCCGGGCCGCGCCCGCCCCGCCGCGGCCTGGCGGGCCCTGGCGGCGCGGGGCGCTGCGGGGCGGTGCGGGGCGCTGCGCACGGACAGCCCGAGCCCACCCCGGGGCCGCTTCCCTCCGCGCCGCTTCCCTGCCCCCGCGCCCTCCCTCGCTCTCACGGCGGAGTTTCTCCGCGCCTTCCTTGGTCTGCTGGGGATAAATAATTAATCTGGCTGCGTAACCGGGGGATTTCTGTCAGCTTCCCTTGCTTGCCGCCGTGACCCCTGAGCAGCGCCCTGATTCGTGACTGCTTGGCGGAGGGCGGTGGGGAGAGGGCGTTTAGGCGGTGAAAAACACGGCAAACGTTTGTCTTCCCACCCCGAGCCTGTCGAAAATGACACGGATAACTTTGGCTCGCTCACGGAGGGAACGAACGTGGCAGTGTGCCCAGTGCTGTGGCTCAGGTGCACTGCTCAAGTTAGGTATGTAGTACTGGGTGCTCAAAAATCGCTCCATCCTCTTGCTCTCTCAAAATCCAGAACCGAGAGGAAAGATGTGTGGAAATGAGAGGTGACAATAGTTTGAATGCTTTGAGATACACTGATGGAGCCACAAATCTTCCATCTGAATGCTGTCTCATTAGAGCACTTAGATTTACTCATGAAAGTAATCCTTCTCTGAGCAGGTAGCACAGAGGGTTTACCTCGTGGGTCACCAATTCTTTTTTTTTTTTTTGTTGTAGTCATAATAAACAATTGTGAGCACTATCCAGAGATCTTATTCTTTCATTAGAACTACCTGAAGTTCTTTTTCATTGTACCGTAGTGTCAAACTGTTGCAGAAGGCTTTTATACATAGTTATAGTTCCTCATCCGATTTTTAGAAACAAAGTGTGCAAGGGGCATGGTACAGAAGTCCAACATCAACTTTAAAGTGTGGTTGACATTTGGTGGGTAGTTCTTCATTGGACAAAAACAAGTTTTCAGAAAACTATGAAGGAAACACACTTGTCAATTCTTTGTATGTTACATGGGAGCAGCTTTCAGCATATGAGTAAATTTCCATTCACTTTATTAAGATATTTTTATATTAATGATGTTGAAAGAGACTTCCTACGAGATCCTTGCTAATTTCATGACAATTCCTGCTTAATATAGTTTGCATTTTAGTGGACAGAGATTACAAGAGCAAGTATCATAAAACATACATTACTCATTGGGATAACTGTACTGCCACAGCACCTGATAATAAGTGTGACGTGTCGTCTCTTACAGAAATGTAAATCTCGGTAATATAGAAAGTCACTAAAGTGCTCAGTTCTTAAATCTTCCCTAATTGATTGTGAGAAGTTGTTCCTTCCCTATCAAGATTAATGAGGTGTATGGATTACTAGATTACGGTGTAAATTTCAACACAAAGCATTTAACTTTTTCCCAGCATGGTTGTTAAAGCAGGTGTAGTGCAGTTAAAACCAGAATTGAGGAACAAATTATATTAAATCTCGGTGTAGAAATACATCACGGTCCCAACATTTATGAAGAAATCTCAGCCCTTTCAAAACTTCTTGTTTTAGAAGAAAACTTTTGCACTAATAGTGATATGTCTTTACATAATTTTTGGTATTTCAGTGACTTTCCCTTTTTTCCTTTCAGATTATGTTTATTTTGAAAATTCTTCCAGCAATCCATATCTCATTAGGAGAATTGAAGAACTTAACAAGGTACAAATATCTAAGATTCTTTCTTAGCCTTTGGCAAAAGTCAGGGTTCTTGTTAAAACCTGAGAATTATTTCTATCCCATAAGATTTCTACTGTAGGAGGGATTTCTGAGGGTTACTGAAAACTTGCTATGTGATATCCTCTAACTCGGCCCTGTTACCTAAGGAAGCACCCAGTTGTTCATCCCTGGTGAACAGGATTACTCTGCTGCAAAAATTTTCTAACGAATTCTATGAATTCTTGGAGAAATGAATAAATTTCATTCTCTGGCTGACGATGACACTGTGAATCCATCTGGAATCTGACACTGTGAAGCCATCATGTAACGAGTCTGCTTTTAGATAGACATCTGAAGAGCTGGCAGGTACCAGCGAGACTTTGATCGAGTAACACAATGTGTGACTTCTGTGGCTTTATTGCTCTGCCTATTGGCAGCTGTGAATGAAGAATGGGCTTTTGAATAAAGTACAAACTGTGTCCTCTGTCTTTATCATGAGTGTATTTTCCTGAAAAATGGAGGCTCTGTTGACAGTCATTTTGGGGAAAGCATGATTATTTTTCTTCACTCTGACACTACTAAGAATAGTGTGGGGTTTCTATGGGTTTTAAAATTATTTTTAATATTTTTGTATTTTTTTTTACTTTTCCCTCAAGCAGTATTAAAACTTACTGATGCACTACATCAAAAGTTAATTGTTAAAATGCTCATCATGATGTAAGTAATGATTAAGATATTTCTCCCCAGTGGTTAGAAAGTAAATTAAAAAATTGGTGACTTGCAAGTGGTTTTCTTCTTATTAATGAAACATAACAATATGCCATAGCAGACATCAACCACATTAGCTGTTAGTGCTGTCCAATGCAACATCCACTGAACTTGTGCATGGCAAATAATTTTTGACTTTTATTGGAGAAGAAAATTTTTTTATTCACAGTAATTGACATGATTCCAATCATATATTGAATGTAATGTTTATTATCTTTAAACTGCATTGCTATAATTTAATCTTGCTTGTGCAGGGTAGAACAGAGTCATGTATTCATTTTTTTTCCTTAAAGGGAGGCTGGAGGTTGTAGTCCACACATCTTGAATGTGAATGGTTTGCTTTCATATGTTAAAGGTATTGAGCAAATGTGAAGATATTATGTAAATATGTAATAAAATGCTTTGATTATTGTTCTAATAGGGACAATATTTTTTTTGTAAGAAGCTTAATCAAAACATTATACTTTTTAGTATTAAGTAAGTAACTCAAGGTAAAAAAGTACTTTTGTACCCTTAAAGGAGAAGGATAAAGTTCTTCAAATATTAGTAAATTCTTTATAGAAGATTGTGGTCCTCATAATGAGTAATTAAAACAGTGAACTAAACTGCTCTTTTATTTTAGGAGCTGTTGTGACTTTCTCAAATAAATCTTTCAAAAGACTTTTTCAATAAATGTTATATTAAATGAGATTCTGAAAAAATGCCCGAGTACTTTGAAATATACATTTCTGTCCAAAGCAGGATTGTAAAGAAATGTTCACAAGATTCTAACATTTCTGAAGGATTCTTACTTTAGAATGTATTGCACCTCTGAAGACCTGAACAAAATATAAATTCTGAGGACTCAATAATTGTAGTTAATCCTCTTGTCTGCTCTGAAATTGGTACTGGCCTCTCTCAAGAAGATTTTATATTTGAGTATATTGGAGTAGTTCTGTTGATTTCAGCTTGACTAATCATGTGAGAACTAGTGATATGAGGGAACACTCCAAGCAGAGAGTGTTTAATTTGTATTTCTCAGCTGAGGAGGGATAGATCCTGACTTGATTTTCTCTTTCTTTTGTAGACTGCCAATGGGAACGTGGAAGCGAAAGTGGTGTGTTTTTACAGGCGAAGAGATATTTCTAACAGCCTTATAATGCTTGCAGATAAGCATGCTAGTAAGTAGATGGTGTAGGGCATTTTTCCTTACTAACACAGCCTGCTCAATTTCTGCAACTGCTTAAAATTGTGGGGTTTTCTGGCATGTGAAATATATATTTATGTTAGGCATTTATTAATATCTAGTTAGTTGCTTAGTATTATCTGGTTCTCTCCTGCTCCTATTAGTTGCTTCTGAGAATTGAGTTACCTGTATCCATATGATTGAGACTGTGCATCTGGAAAAAAAAAAAGAATGTATCTTTTCATCTGGAAGATACAGATGCATTTTTTTTTTAAGTCAAAAGTAAAAGTAATTATTGGTTGCAAGTCAATTTAAGCTTAAGAGCACTTGTAATTATTTGATGTGACTTTTTTGAATTAGACATAAACATGTATTCCTTAATGTAAAGAATGAAATGCATCATTGGGCAGATGTAAAAGAGATTGTAAAAGAGCTGTTATGTGCATTTACACTAAATGTAGATATTAGTCAAAAAATAGGGGGTTAGGGTTTTTATATTTATTTTTTTTTCCAGAAAAACAACAAGTGGTAATAGGTGAAAAAAGCCCCACTTTTCAACATGAACATAAACTTTTTTTGTATCTGCCATCTGGTATGCAAGTGAAATATCATAATGATAACATTTTGATGAAAAATAAAATTCTGAAGAGAAAAAATGCAATTCTGAAAATATAATTCAGAACTTAAAAATCTGAGATTAAAATAGTAATTTGCAAAATACTTGTCATATTTGTAAATAACTGAAATTTAAAGTGTGTCAACATCCTGTCAATTTCTTGCCACATGCTATTAAATACCATTTGTATTGTATATGATGCTTGAGTTTTCAAAATGAATCTGTGAATATATTATGTAGGAGTTATAAATCTCAAATTTTTTGGGATGAATAACTTGAAAGATATTAGATAATGCTAACTTTTTAATGCAGATATATGATGGTGTAATTAGGTCCTTTAAAAATACCCTGCAATGTCCAACTCTGGTAATTTTGCTCATCCAGGTGTGGTGAGTGAAGAGAAATGGCCAGCCTTTGGCTTTTGTTTTGTTCTTTTATTGGTCTTAGAGAAGTGGGGGTGATTTGAGTACATAGTGTGAAGTACTAGCTTGGTTTTTATAGGAAGACAATACGTCTTGCTTATGTACTAAGAAAATTATTTAATGTTTTCTTACATAGTTGGATACACTCTATAATTATTTGTGACCTATTTATGATCATGTTCATCAGCCCCCACAATATTTTGAGTTCTTCCAGATGAAATGTATAGAAATATAGAACTTTAGGTGAGCCTCACTAAACCTTCTAGTACTTTTTTTTTTTTGTTTTCCTTTTCTAATGGAGGGGGCGAGGTAATATGAAAATGATAACAACTATCCTGGAAATACTTTTTTTTTTTTTTAAATTTGATTTTTAAAACATGAGGCTTGTAAATTTATTTTTTTGTTGGGTTATTTTTTAGAAAAGGGTATGTTAGTTCTGTGGGTATCATTCAATCTGGAAAAGTAAGTTTTTTCTATTTGCTTTGTGAGTTTTAGATTGCCACTTTGTCAGCACTTTGATGAAAAGGACTTGATGGTCTGTTGCTCTTCTCCTATAGCATACTAGGGGTTTGTTGGTGTCACTAGGAGTGCCGTGGAATCTTCCATCATGTTTTCTCCATCGGGATTCTCTTGTGGTTTTGTAGTGAGAAAACAGAAATGTGATTTCCAGCTGGTTCAATGAACATCTTTAGAACGCCTGTGTCTCACATGTTGCAAGCCTTCTAACCCAGTGCTCTTATGAAATAAGTTTCTCTATGAGCATTTTGTCTGGACACAATGTCTGTGTTCTGACCAATCTGTGGAGTCTGTAATGCCAAGCTCTCTTAGGAGATGTTTGTTACAGCTACAGGGGACAACAAATAGTGAAGGATTGCTTGCCTAGAGCTTCCTATAACTCTTAGAGCAGATGTAGTTAAATGTCAAATCAATTCAGAGGCTTTCATTCTGGAATAACACAGTGTTCTGTTTAAAAATATGGTGTGTGTAAACAAAATATTTGTATATTTATGGACTGAATGTTTTGGAAATGTTTTATATAGCTAAACATGTTGACACATCAACACTTCTACCTGGTTTGGTATAAAGTAAGTGTTAAAAGATAAAAGTTTCTTAAGGAATGGAAACTGCAGTTCAGCCACTGATTTCTCCTGTGTGCCTGTTTGGAGAAGTCTTCTAAGTATAAGGTCTGCTTTATCTTTTCTAATGATATTTTGTATTGCTAGTGGGTTTTTTTGGGNTTTTTTTTTTTTTTTTTGTGGCTGAGAAAACTGGCTTGAGTTATGCATTTCTCAAGATTTCAGCACATGGGGGTTGGGGTTTTTCTGATTAACACATCAATATCTGAAGGTTACATTTTGAGATGTAGATATGGTCCCATTTACTAAAAGAAAAAAGCATCTTTGTAAGAAAATATTTTGGAAGTTCAAAAAGAAATTTTTAGTAACTTGAAAAAGTTTCAGAATTATTCTAAAGAGTGTTTGGGGAACATGAAATAAAGTTGATCTGTGACTTAATCACTGGTAAGGAGTTTGTATATTGTTTTCATAGGGTGTTTTTTGTTGTTGTTAGGTTTTTGTTTGGGTTTTGTTTGCTTGTTTGGGTTTTTAAATTTGGTTGGGAATTTTTAGTTTATTTGCTTTTTAAGTTGTCTTCCAGAATGTTTCAAGATATTGTAACAAATTGAGGGAGGAAAATCAAATTTTCCTTAGGCCATTCTAAAATACTCAGGTACAGAGTAGTTAGTTCCCTTGTTTTCAAAGAATGTCACTAATCTGTGCAGAAATTGTATTGCCTTCTTTCTTTCCCTGGTGTTTCTGGTGGAATTTAATTAAGGACATTTTTATTTGTCTACCAGCATCAGGTATGACACCAGCTTAGGTCTGGGAATAGTTCTAGAGCTAATTGTAGCCAGTTAAATCTGGGGATTAGGAATGTTTTATGGGCACTTGAGGACTTTATGTTTTTTCACTGTTGATTTATGTTACTACAAAATAGAGTTTATGATAAGGTCAGCTTGAAATACAAGCCAAAATACTGTCCAGGATCAACTTCTTGATCCTGTGCAGCCTCCTGAGCTTAGTAGGAGAGTTCTTTTGGGGTGTTAACATGCACCAGGTTGTTGTTGTTGTTGTTGGGGTGTTAACTCACTTAGGTTGTAGTCATCACCACAGGGTCACTGTGAGGGGAATTTTCCTTTCTTGGCATGAAAGAATTGACCAGCAGCAGAGTAAGGCTTACTGTGAAGAGATGAGTAGAGGATGGCAGGCAGCACAAGAGACAGATGTTGCAACAGGTACCCGAGTGCGTAAGCAACTGAACTTGGAGAGGTGGGATAGAAACACTCAGCTCATTAAAATGGGTGAAGCAAACACAAAGGGGTGGCATAGAGATGTTTCCTAACTACATGGTGTGATTGAGAAATTGCCAGCTGTAGCTGAATCTATGAAATGTAGATGATTCTTTATCTTCAGTAAAATTAATGTATTTTAGGGCAAGGTTTTAATAGCTGTGGAGAGGAGGCTGTGTCAGCTTTGTACCAGCACTGGTTTTGGGTTACAGTGAAGGGCTCAAGTTCTTATTTCCTCATTTTGCAATAGATTGCAAAGAATCATAGAATATCCTGTATCACAAGGGACACATGAAGATAATTGGATCCAACTCCTGGCCCTGCACAGGGACCATTCTAAGAACCATACCATATTTGAGGTTATTCACTACTACTTGAAGCTGAGTGGGGTGACCTGAGTGCATGATGCCATTTTTTGCAGTTCTTTGCACTTTAAGTTCTTTATCTGATAATGTGTTATCATGTAATACTATGTCTGAAGTCATTCTCTTATTGCAACTCCTCAGCCAACTTTTGCCTAGTCAACCATCTGGTGAGGATATAAAAAAAATTACTGTTGTTGGAGTCCTTCATCTTCTGATTTATTAAAGAGGGTTTGTTTCATTTAGGTGTGCTGAGATGCTGACTAAATGCCAAGAATATTTCTGGGCTTGTGATAAAGCCCATGCAGAATGTATTTTTTTCTCATTAACAGAATTGATATTCTTTGTGAATGAGATAGTACTCAATTAAAAAAAAAGCTCAGAGATATTTGTTTCATTGATTGAGTTGAAAGGTAAAATGAAATTTTTCTAGATTACAGAAGCTGACAAAAAATCATATTCAATCTCAGTTGTTCTTTTTAGAGATCACTTACTGGCTTTGCTTCTTGTTGCACATTTTTAAAAATTTTATTCTTTTGCTCTCAATCAGTCATGTTTCATGTCACATTGCTTTGTACAATGGTGTTTCTGCTGCAGAATTTTTGTATATGATAGATATCTCGGAGGAGAGGATTCTTGCTAGTGATTCCTGGTTAGACAATCATTAGGGCTGGGAAAGACCTCCAAGATCCAGTCTTTGACTGAACACTGCCATGCCCACTGAACTTTATCATCAAATTTTGGAGTCTGTACTCAATTCTTACTTTTGTGTGACTTTCATGTGTTGCAATCAGAAACAAATCCAGTATTCTCTCTGTACTTCAGTTTTTTGCCTGTAAAGCAATGCTCCTATTAGTTCTTATTAAAGTTGGTAAAAATATTTAATATGCCAATATGTTTTTATAGTTGCCATTAAAAGATCTCAAAGCACCTTACAAACACTAATAATTTATATTCTATATAATATCAAGAATGCTCCAGCATTCATGGAAATGGCTTGATCTTGCAGAGCAGTTTAGCTGCTGCTGAGCCTTCTTAAAGGTACTTTGTATTTGAAGGGAGGAATATTTTCATATTGTCTATATTAACTGCTGATATTCCAGATGCATCTGAGAGAATGAAGCTGTTAATATCCCATCTGATTTTTGAGAAGCATTTTATTTCAGTAGAGCAGCAGGCAAGCAGGTATAATTAGAGATGTTAAGAAAATGAGTTTAACTTGAGCAGTAGTGTTTAGCAGATTACTCA